CTCCAATCAAGCGCTGTCCCACCTTAGCAGCAGCAAAGCAACCCCGGACCATCACATTACCTCCACCATGCTTAACAGATGGCGTCAGGCATTCTTCCAGCATCTTTTCATTTGTTTTGCATCTCACATGTCCAATAAAATGTTACATTAATATAAAGTTTTTGTGTTCTTAACAAACTTTGATGAATTTTAAATAACAGATCTTCTCTCTCTGATTTTATATTTTGGATACTGTGAAGGGCTGCCAAAGAATCACCACCAAAAACTACTCTATCTGGTCTTGCTTCCTCTATCCATTGTAGTCCTTATTGCCTTCTTGTTTACTTTAATGGTGCTCTCCAGGTACACAATAGTCTCACTACAACCAACAACTGGACGGACAGGAAATAAATTTATAACAAAAATAAATCAAGAAACAACATGACCTCAGTCATTATTTTATTTGTAATTATAATATATAATGCACTTAGATGCAAAAAGAAGCATAATGTAGATTTTTACTATAATATAGATGACTCTGTTACCCGATCTTCAAAAGGTTTGTGCAAAGCAGAGCAGACCTGTAAAGAGGGTGGAAAGTGATTTGCAAGGGCAACTGTATTTGCAACAATTTTGTGTGCCGCTACATTAATATAGAGATATTCTACTGACCAAATAACACATATGTATAGGTGGAGTATATGCAGATGTCAGAACTTCACATGTGGCCTTCACTTAGGATCAACTGTATCAAATGCAGCACAGAGATCTAACAGGACAAGTACAGATAGAAGTCCATTATCTGAGGCCATGAGAATATCATTAGTGACTTTAACTAGAGCTGTTTCAGTGCTATGATTCAGTTTATTTCTATAGCGCCAATTCACAACACATCATCTCAAGGCACTTTACAGTTCACCAAATCATCCAGTCAGATTGGTTCAAATTTGTCTATCTAAGGAAAACCAGCTGATTGGATCGACTCATTGACTTGAAGGAAATCCCTCACACACCATTAAGCCTTTTGCTCAACCGCTGCTAAAATAAACAGTAAGAAGAAGAAGATTTTTGGATTTGGGTCTTTCATTCCTTTTGAGACAGCATGAAAAGTCAGCTGAGAACAAAACATAGAGGGAAAACAACAAGAAAAAGGGACAAGAAGAGAGGGACAAAACCTAGAACAAATAATATATGTCTATTCTATTAAAATGTCTGTATCTGTAGAATGGGTCTGTTTCATGTGTTGTCTTCTTCATTCAGAGGGCCCCCTGCCTGTCTTTGCCTAGGGCCCCAAATTTCCTAAATCCACTCCTGCTCTGCAGGACAGATAAACATCCATCTCTGCTTCACAGATTATAAAATGTAAAAGCCGGGCCTTTAGCTTGTTTCTTTTGTTCTTGAAAACTCCTCCTATAAAAAGAGCATTTGTAAAAACCTTCCCAAAAACATTAAAAACATGAATTAAAAGGCTGAAAATGGTCTTTAGTCTTGTGCATTACATAAAAACGTGGAACACATTTTCAGACAGACAACAGAAAGGACACTGGTTTAAAACACCCCATTAATGACCAAATGAGTTTGTGATGATGGCGCCGTGTAAAAACCTCCATTGGAGATCACCAGATCGTTTCTTGATTGGAGGTTTGTATAAAGTCCTCCACTGGGGGCTTTTATCTGAAGCTTTTCTGTCCAGATGCAGACCGGCCGGTTCTGAAGATGTCTTTGGTTTATTGCTCTTGTGCAGCTGTTGGTAAAGAGCTTTGTGGTCCAGAATAAAACCATTCTCTCTGGGTCCAGGCTGGACAGCCACAAACAATGGTCTGGTTTTTGCTCAGGGAAGCAAGGATCCAGGATCAGGCCAGGAACTTTTCTTTTCTTTTCTGTTTTCTTAGGCGACATTCGTTACCCCCTCCTTACCAGTAGGTGGCGGTAAATCGCCATTACGCTGTTTGCTCAACAGCCGCTAAAACAAACAGTAGAAGAAGAAGAGGCAGTAGAAGAAGAAGTCCTTGAAGACTTTGCATTCTGGGAGACAAACAGTGGTCGGGCGCGTGTTTTGAAGCTGCTCTGCTTGTGGAGAAATGTCCTGGGCCGTGAGTAGTGAGGAAACAGGAAGCGATTCTTGTGGGATGGAAGAGGGAAATAGTGACAATGAAGGTTGGAAGATAGCAGCATCAAAAAATGAGAAAAAGCGGAAAAAACAGAGATCAGTTAAAGGGGAATCTAGTTCAGAACAATCCAGTGATGATCAATCCATACATTCCACAGCACAACAAAATGAATTCAAAGTCATATTCAAAGTCGTTAATCAGGCAGACTCTTTTACAAACTGGAATCCGGTTCACTTAACAAAAACCATCAATAAACTTGTTGGAGAAGTCAGAGGTGCCAGAATTCTGTACAGTGGAGACCTGCTAATTAACTGCAGAGACAGCGCCCAGCAAGGCAAAGCAATACGTATTAACAAAATTGACGGGATAAGAGTTCAGTGCAGCCTAATGGAGAACAAAAAGATCAGCAGGGGAGTCATTGGAGGAGTTCCTCTGAAAATTTCTGAAAAAGAGATTCTGGAAAACATAAGCGGTGCAAAAGTAAAAGAAGTAAAACGGTTAAAAACAACAAGAAACGGAGAAAGATCTGACAGTTTATCTGTACTAATTAAATTCGAGGAAGAGCAATTACCAAGCAAAGTATTCATCGGTTACATCAGTTACAATGTCAAAATCTACAATCCACCACCATTGAGATGTTTCAAATGTCAAAAATTCGGACACATTGCAGCAGTTTGTAAAGGGAAACAGAGGTGTGGAAGGTGTGCAGGAGAACATGAATATGGTAAATGTGGAAAAGAAGCTAAAATAAAATGCTGTAATTGTGGTGGAGAACATACTGCTGCTTATCGCGGCTGTGAAGCAAGCAAAAGGTCTGAAGAAATAAAAAAAATGAAATTTGAGCTTGGAATAACTTATGCTGAAGCTGCAAAAAGGATCCCATCTCAGTCAGAAAAACCCAAACCTACAGTTCAACACACGGCTAATTTCAAACCTCTAGAGAAATCTCCAAAAATTGATGAAGACTCACTAATTGTTAAAAAGACAAATTTTGTTCTTTTCATGGTGGAAGTGATTAATTGTACTGCTCAGACGACAAAAAAAACAGAAAAAATCAAAATAATAGTGAAGGCTGCAGAAAAATATCTGGATGTTAAAGATATGAACTGGGAGATGGTTGGAAGCATGATGGAAAGACCAATGGGACCATCAGAAACTGGCAGAGGTACGATGACCTAGAGTAAATTAAAATTATACGGGCAAATGTAATTTAGTATAATTTAGTATTATGTGGGTTTAAGTTACACAGGTTATTTTATTGTATTTTTTTTTTTTTTTTTTTTTTTTTTTTTTTTTTTTTTTTTTTGGGGGGGGTGAATCGTTTCCTGTTTCCTTGCTTTACTCCATATCAGTTGGTGGCGGTAATGCACATTTCACAAGTTTGCCAACCGCCATAAAATCTCATAAGAAGAAGAAGAAGACAAACAGTGGTCGGGGATGGTCGTTTGGTGCATGGCGCGTGTTTTGAAGCTGCTTATGGAGAAATGTCTTGGGCCGTGAGTAGTGAGGAAACAGGAAGCGATTCTTGTGGGATGGAAGAGGGAAATAGTGACAATGAAGGTTGGAAAATAGCAACATCAAAAAATGAGAAAAAGCGGAAAAAAACAGAGATCAGTTCAAGGGGAATCTAGTTCAGAACAATCCAGTGATGATCATTCCATACATTCCACAGCACAACAAAATGAATTCAAAGTCATATTCAAAGTCGTTAATCAGGCAGACTCTTTTACAAATTGGAATCCGGTTCACTTAACAAAAACCATCAATAAACTTGTCGGAGAAGTCAAAGGTGCCAGAATTCTGTACAGTGGAGACCTGCTAATTAACTGCAGAGACAGCGCCCAGCAAGGCAAAGCAATACGTATCAACAAAATTGACGGGATAAGAGTTCAGTGCAGCCTAATGGAGAACAAAAAGATCAGCAGGGGAGTCATTGGAGGAGTTCCTCTAAAAATTTCTGAAAAAGAGATTCTGGAAAACATAAGCGGTGCAAAAGTAAAAGAAGTAAAACGGTTAAAAACAACAAGAAACGGAGAAAGATCTGACAGTTTATCTGTGCTAATTAAATTCGAAGAAGAGCAATTACCAAGCAAAGTATTCATCGGTTACATAAGCTATAATGTCAAAATCTACAATCCTCCACCATTGAGATGTTTCAAATGCCAAAAATTCGGTCACGTTGCAGCAGTTTGTAAAGGGAAACAGAGGTGTGGAAGGTGTGCAGGAGAACATGAGTACGGAAAATGTGGAAAAGAAGCTAAAATAAAATGCTGTAATTGTGGTGGAGAACATACTGCTGCCTATCGCGGCTGTGAAGCAAGCAAAAGGTCTGAGGAAATTAAAAAAATGAAATTTGAGCTCGGAATAACCTACGCTGAAGCTGCAAAAAGGATCCCATCTCAGTCAGAAAAACCCAAACCTACAGTTCAACACACAGCAAATTCCAAACCTCTAGAGAAATCTCCAAAAATTAATGAAGACTCACTTATTGTTAAAAAGACAAATTTTGTTCTTTTCATGGTAGAAGTAATTAATTGTACTGCACAGACAACAAAAAAAACGGAAAAAATCAAAATAATAGTGAAGGCTGCAGAAAAATATCTGGACATTAAAGATTTGAACTGGGAGATGGTTGGAAGTATGATGGGAGGACCGATGGGACCATCAGAAACTGGCAGAGTTAAGATGACCTAGAGTAAATTAAAATTATATGGGCAAATGTGATTTAGTATTATGTTGGTTTAAGTTACACAGGTTTTTTTTTTTTTTTTTTTTTTTTTTTTTTTTTTTTTTTTTTTTTTTGGGGGGGGGGGGGGGGGTGAATCGTTTCCTGTTATCTTGCTTTACTCCATATCAGTTGGTGGCGGTAATGCACAATTCACAAGTCTGCCAACCGCCATAAAATCCCATAAGAAGAAGAAGAAGAAGAAGAAGAAGTCCTTCCTTTCAGGAGCTCCACACGTGTTTCTTTGAGTGTTGGAGGCAGAATTGAAGCGGCATCAGGAGAAGTTTCCAGTCCGTCGCTTGGTCGCTAATCTTCAGCTAACATGAAACCAGGTAAAGTAGCTGCGCGCGAGGCCGCTTTAGTCTCACGGTGTTCAGGCTGTTTGGCTGCAGACATGACGGCCTACCAGGCAGCCCCCCTAAACATGGTGAAAAGTGTTTAATGGTGAAAATAAGTCGCGGCATAGTGACCCTAGTCTCGTGCTGGGATTTGAATACTATTGAATAAGTTTTTTAATCGTTTTTATCCTGTTTATATCGGTAAAGTAAAGTCTAGGCTGGGGGCCAGGGGCCCCTCGTGTTGCTGAGCACGTGGGCAGCCTGTTAGGATTCCGGTGGAAATGTTTGGGGCCTCTGAGGGCCACAATGAAATTAAAACCTGTCCTTCTGTCTTCAAAGGGAGCCGATGTTTAGCTGTTTGAATGCCAGAACATAAATTAACTAATTTATTTAAATCTCCTTAGTTAATCTGTAATGATTAAATGAAACATACAGGGTCCAGATAGTGGACCAACTTTATGTAGGAAATCTATGATAAATGTAGACGGTGTAAAATGGCAAAAAGTTGAATAAAACCTGGTTTTCTTTTTTACATTTAATTTAATCTCCATCGGTTGATTTCTCCTAATCTAAACCAAACATCTGTGGTTGGATTAAAGCTAATCTAACTCTGGGCCTTTTACACGTGTACCTGTTTTTCTTACATTTTGTTCCCTCAAGTATCAAATCTGTCAACGTGTGAATATTTCTATTTAATTAAGGGTCTTTGCTCAGAGACCCAGAGTGGCAGTCTGTGGGAGTGGGGGATCAAACTCAGAACCTCAGGATTACAAACACTATGCCCTAACCACTGGGCTACTGTTCTGTCAGACCAGCATACCTATAATGAACACACAAGACCTCAGATTTGTTTATCCCTTTTAGTTTTGTACGAAAAATAGACTTTAAACTACCTCAATGGGCGTGTATCCCTTTAGTCATTTACATAATAAAACAGTTTAAGGCCAGATCGCCATATGCTTAAAAAACCCCACCAGAAACTAAGTGTAATTGAATAGTTTTTGTGTGTTTTTGCTTGACTAAAGTGATCTATGCTCACTGAGGTTCTTTAAAATCTATTTTCCATCCAAAACTAAAGGGATAAACGGGTATTGGCTATGGGTCTGCTGGTCTGACGGAAAGCCGCCACTCTTCCCATGTGGTGTCTGAACCTCTGTTCTGAATCCAGATGTTCAAACCCAGCAGTAAAAACTGTAACTTCCTGAAAAGCTAAAGCTAAAAACATGTGATGTCATTTTGCACATCTCTGGTGTTGCTTTTTTCTCATATCTACTACTGTAGAAATGTCTGCAGCTGTGTGTTGATTATTTATTATTCAGATGACTGCACAGTATTTATATTTGTAAAACGTTGTACAGTGTTTTATCTATTTTTATTTCTTTTTTTAATTGATTCTGTTATTTTTATACACTTTTAAAGGCCCGCGTTTGTGACCATGTTTGCTGCAATCAGTTGCTGCAGTAACACTACGATTTCTCCATTGTGGGACAATAAAGGGATTTTCTTTTTTCTAATGAACCACCATACAAACCAAAACATTTTTATTTCTGTTAAGTGGGCTGTGCCTGTACCTCATGCCATTCATTTAAAAAATACTTATGAATCCCAAAGAGAAATTAAACTAAATGTTAGTTGTTTTTTTTTTTAGCAGTTTTAGGTGTTCATAGCTGTAGGCAGGAAGGATCTTGTTCTTGTAAAGTACTTCTTTCCTCCAACGTTGGTCTTGTTGATCTACCGTCCTGCAGGGTTTAGATGCAGCCCTGCTCCGTCACAGCCAATTCAAATCAAACGGCATGCCATCAAGTTTAAATACATCCGGGTAACAAGGCTTTGATTTATTCAGCTGTGATGGATCTGCTTTTTTAATTTCGGTCCAATAATCAATAACTAGATGGCAGAAAATGACTTTAAAACATTTAGTTAAAAAAACTGAGACGATCTGATCTGATGCTTGGCTGCAGCTCATGTTCATCCAATTAAAACGTACACCTTTGTGTTTAAGGTTTCACTCCCCGTGGAGACAGAGGAGGACGAGGCGGGGGCCGCGGCGGCTTCAGAGGCGGGTTTGGAGACCGGGGTGGACGTGGAGGAGGAAGAGGTGAGTTGAAGGAAGTTTAGTCTGACAGACCTTTCTGGAAGCAGACTTGTTTGTATACATATCCTCCCTGAAATGATGCACAGTGGACATCAGACACTATGATGTGTTTTTATTTTAGGTGGTGGATTTAGGTCTCCAGACGGTGGAGGATTTCGTGGCCGTGGGGGTGGCAGAGGCACCCCAAGAGGAAGAGGAGGCAGAGGAGGAGGAAGGGGTGGTGGCAGAGGAGGCTTTGGAGGAGGGAAGAAGGTCCTGATTGAGCCTCACAGACATGAAGGTTTTTATCCAACATATTTCTATACCTGAGAAAGTGATTATGATCTCATATTTTTACATCCTGTCAAAATGTTTCAGTTAAATTCAGTTTATTTCTATAGCTCCAATTCACATCATGTCATCTCAAGACACTTTACAGTTCAACAAGATCATCCAGTCAGATTGATTCAAAATTTTCTATCCAAGGAAAACCGGTTGATTGCTGCATAGACTCATTGACTCAAATACAATCCCTCACACTAAGCATGCTTGTAGCGACAGTGGAGAGGAAAAACTCCCTCTTAACAGGAAGAAACTTCCAGCAGAACCAGGCTCAGTGTGAGCGGCCATCTGCTGAGGCCAACTGGGGTTCAAGGAGACAGAAGCAGAGATGGAAAATGAAGCCATCCCTCTTCTTCCCCTTATGTGAGGTCAGGTTGCGGGGGTAGCAGCTTCAGTAGGGAGGCCAAGACGTCCCTCTCCCCAGTCCAGCTCCTCCGGGGTAACCCCAAGGTGCTCCCAGGCCAGCAGAGAAACATAGTCCCTCCAGTGGGACGTGCCTGGAACACCTCACCAGGGAGACGTCCAGGAGGCATCCTAACCAGATGCCTGAGCCACCTCAACTGTCTCCTATCGATGTGGAGGAGCAGCGGCTCTACTCTGAGTCCTCCCCGGATGACTCAGCTCCTCACCCTATCTCTAAGGGAGAGCCCAGACACATTATGGAGAAAACTCACTTCAGCCGCTTGTATCAGGGATCTCATTCTTTCGGTCACAACCACAGATAAGGGTAGGATTGTAGATTAACCCGTAAATGTCGAGCTTTGCTTTTTGGCTCAGCTCTCTTCACAACAACAGACCGGTACGGCGCACGCTTCACTGTAGACGCCGCACCGTCCAGGAAACGCACAGCCAGGCAGACGAGCTCCGAGCCAGCTCCCATGTCAGAGGATGAAGAGAGCACATCCAGTTAGTCACAGTCAGAGAAACAGGACTACACTGGAAAACAGGCCGATCTCCAGCATCTATAAACAAAGATGTTGATGGAAGCAGCACAGCTGATATTTCTGTCCAGGATGGAGTCACAGCCAAACAGGAACAGACCAGATGAAGCTACTATGAGAAAAAGCAGAGAGAGCAGAATGTTAGAGATTGAACTAACAGATTCAGCAGAGTGGGAGACTAGAGATAGAATGATGAAACGGGGTCCCTATGTCCTCCAGCATTCTAAGCCTATAGCAGCATAATGTTTAAATCGATGTACCATGCCTAAAGTCACATATCGGTTTATGAACCTGCTTTTTCCAGTCTTCATCATTAACTCTGACTCTGGCGTAGAAACAAAATGTAGCTATGTTGTTTTATTTTGTGTTTGTTTGTGATGCTGTGAAAGTGCATAGGTTTGCATTAATAGGTGTGTGTGTGTGTGTGTGGGTCAGGGGTCTTTATCTGCAGGGGGAAGGAGGATGCCCTGGTAACCAAAAACATGGTGGTGGGGGAATCGGTGTATGGAGAAAAGAGGATGAGCGTCGAGGTAAAGTCTGACCTCCAGTAAAGAATGTTGGGATTTTTTGTTGCAGACCTTTGATTTGATGCCGTTTCTGCAGGAAGGAGAGACAAAAATCGAATACAGAGCCTGGAATCCTTTTCGTTCCAAGCTGGCGGCAGCCATCTTAGGAGGAATTGACCAGATCCACATCAAACCCGGAGCCAAGGTCATGTACCTGGGCGCTGCCTCGGGTACCACCGTGTCCCACGTGTCGGACATTGTTGGACCAGTGAGTATAAGAATAACGGCCCCGAAAATGACTTGGAGACGCTGCTGGGAGTTTAACCCAATTTTAAATCCAGGCTGTGAACCAGCTGGTCGGTCCTGTAGTTAAACAATGCTGCTGGTTTTACCCAGTAAGCCCGTTTAGAAAAGGACTGAATGGGTAAAGGAAGATAAATCTGATTTTTCAGAGTGTAATTTTCATAAATGCCAAATTTTAATAGTTGTAAATGAATTCATAATCCAGCCTTAAGTAACAGTAACACAGACGGTCTGAACCAAAGGTTGCAGAGCAAAGCACACAGTTAAGTACCCAGACTTGTTTTCCACACTCCCTCTCACTCATGCTACCTTCAGCCCGCACGCAGCAGAAGCAGCAAAAACTGGCGTGCCACTCATTTTTGATGCTTCTACAAGTTTAGTTCTGACGCGCGGCCGAAGCATCTTTGCTGCAGGGTGGAAGGTGGGTCTGATGCCCGTTGGGCGGAGCTATCCTTTCTTTGGCTGGAACAACAGCAGCTATATTTGCTGTGATCAATGGGTAAACAGTAGTCTGAGGATGTTTTCCATCTGTGCAGTCAGTTCATCCAGAGAACCATCCTGCCTTCAAATATTATTTCACCGTCGGAGCATCAGACCCCCGTACACCAGCGGTTCTCAGGGAATCCCGTTCAACAGTATCCTCCGCTCCGTTGCATATTTGCGGTTTTCCACTGCTGTTCACGGAAGGCGTTCTTAATGTGTGTAATCCAAGCTGCAGGCAGCAGGATAATAAAAGCAAACATGTTTTGCTGGCATTTTTCTACATTTTAAGTAAATATAGGTGTTAGAGTGATCATAGTGTTCTGCATCAGCAGTGCTGTGTCTGTCTCCCTGCCAGCTCCCAGATCAGCCTCTCTGATTGGTTGAAGTGGCACGTCCAGCAGCTAAAGTTCAATTTTTCCAACTCCAGCATCTGCTGCTTCTGAAGCAGGTCAGAAGCTCGTTACACGCTGCTCCTGCTGCTCTAAACCTGGACCTTTTGCTGCGCCTTGATGCGCCGCAACCAGTGACTTTGAATGTAAACTAGCTGCTTCTGCAGCGTGTGGTCTGGATGTAGGTTCCCATATGGTGGAAGCTGGAATGATGTCAGGACAGTTAAAGCACTGATGCTCTGCTGCAGGAAAGATGGCTCATAAAGGTTTTTTAATGTAAGAGTCCCAGGGTGTCTCTACCCGATCCGTCCCGGAAGCACGATCCGTTCTGCGCAAACAGATATACATCCGGGTGTCCATACGTAATATAATTATGGTACTACAACTACTAATTTCTATCCATAACTCGCTAAAGAATAGTAATACACATCTGTAAAATGTTGTATGACTTTTGCGAGACAATTTTTATGTTTTTTACATTTTCTTCGTTAAACTGCTTCTCTGATGTCATCATGGGACATGCTTAACATGATTTAATATGATTAAACCATGTTTATCTGCGTTTTAGTTGCTTCTTTGTTTAGATTACGCACTATATAGCATAAGGTTAAAACGAAAACACAAAACTCAAAAAGACTAGATTTATGTTTAAATCCAAAGCTGAAAAAGTTAGTGACAGGAAGTAGCGTAGGATCCCATTTCTGGTGCAGGTAGAAAAGAGACGAGTGATAAAACAAACGCTTTTAAAGCATTTTTTTTGTCAGGAATAACATGATTAATCATTAACACATTATGTTTTAGTATGTTTACAGTATTTCTGTGGAGAGAAAACGTCATTTAGGTATTTTTAACAAAATAAAATCGAGGATGACTCGGATGTATATCTGGATGTGAATGCGCTATGAGCTGATGGCGCAGAGGGGATAATGCTTCCGGGACGGATCGGGTAGTGACACAGGTTACCAGAACGCCTCCTCACCTTGCAGTTAGACTAGAAAGCAGAGCTGCAGTCATTATCTCAGAGCCTCGTGTCATCATACGCCTAAAACTGAACGTATAGATTTAAATCCAAAACATGAAGCAGTGGAACCCACCTCTCTGTCCCTTTTTGACTACATCTTCATGATTCCGTTGCAGCTGATTTGCTGCTAATCAAGTTTCCTTCTCCACTCGCCAAACCGTTAATGATGACCTTTCTGCCGCCTTACATTGTGCGATATTTTCAATCGTTGCACGCAGCTCCAGCTCACACAGTAAGACGAAACCCGACGCTCTGATGCGTTCCACCTGCTCACACTGCACATCCAAAACCCACGTTGGACTCGGCGCTGAGAGGTGGGCCTGGGTGGATTTGTTAATCTGGAATAAGAACTCCCGTTTGCATATGTTCAGTGTTTGAGGTTCTGCTAAATCGGCTTGTAGCTCTGCTTCCACAGCAGGATTTGTCCACGACCTCCTCACAACGTCCGCCTAAATTTTTCCCTTGACCTTACGATTCCTGATGGGGAGGTGGTTGTGACCTCGTTACCCCCTGTACGCTACACTACGCACCATCAGGTGTAAAGTCGGCCTGATCAAATAATTCTCACACGACTGGAGAATCGCCCCGAAATATGCAAAGACTGGTTCATTGTATTCTTGGATTTATTAAACCCTTCCTCTCTTCTGTTAATGTTAGCAGGACTTCCTGTGTTTGGATTTTAGTTTGGCAATGGAGCAAAATGTGTAGCTCCACTTAGAAATGTTTAACCATTATTTTACACTAAATCTTCTTGTTTTAACTAAAGAGAAGCTGTTGAATGTCTACTAACCATCATCAGTCTAACCTGCCTGCTGTTTGGGTACCAATGGCGCTCTGTGATTTAAATCTAAAAGGCTTTAGTTTAAAGGTCTGCTGCTTTGTGCGTCACAGGACGGGCTGGTCTATGCAGTGGAGTTCTCCCATCGATCCGGTCGAGATCTGCTGAATGTGGCAAAGAAACGCACCAACATCATTCCCATCATAGAAGACGCCAGGCATCCGCACAAATACCGGATGCTGGTCGGTACGTAGAAGCAACGTTCCTGCCTCTCATACATGGGTCCCCATTTAAAGGGACGTTTGGGATTTCACTCATTGAATGATTGCATCTGAAGATGATCACTGGTTGGATTTATTTTCTCTGGTACCAAATCATGTGCTATATTGAGTGAAACCTTTCTTTCCAGGCATGGTGGATGTGATTTTTGCTGACGTGGCGCAGCCTGACCAGACCAGGATTGTTGCTCTGAACGCTCACAACTTCCTGAAAAATGGAGGACACTTTGTCATCTCCATAAAGGTTTGTCTACAGCTCTGTGGAACGAAGATTAAACCTCCAGACGAATGTCTGGAGGTTGAGAATAAACTCTTATTTGGTTTCAAATGTCTTTAAAAACATTTGATTCAGATCCAGTAACTGATGTGCAGCAGAGGATGATTTGTGATTTTTGAGTTTGAAACATTTAATCAGATTAATCAATTATTGGAATAATTTAGTAATTGATTAACTGGGGATTAGAGACTGTGAAACAAGCCTTTAGATGACAGAGCGACCCACTTAGAGCAGGAATTATACTAAGATTGTAAAAATATATATACCTTTAACATAAAAGAAATCTTATTTCATTTGTCAATCTGCTCTATAAGGAACTAGATAATGTATTAGATTAGATACATTTTCTGTGAGTAATCATTACTCGATCTGCAATATAATGTACATTGTGAACACTGAATTTTTAAACCTGTGGTTTCGTTGTACAGTTTAAGCTGTAGCTGCTTGTAACAATAAAAAAACAAATAGTATATGCCCAGCTTTGCAGTCAGTAAAGATCGTTGCCTCATGCTCACAACCAGCACGATGCGCTCACTGATTCACAGATGGAAATTGACCGAAGTCGCTGCTTAAAAAATTATCTGGATATTCTTAGATAAGATCAACAATAAAGCAGTCGAAACAAGTTTCCTTCGCAGGGTGGGTGGGTGGGCGGGCGCACCCTATGAGATCAGGGTGAGGAGCTCAGTTAGGCTTGGAGTAGAGTCGTTGCTCCTCCGCGTCAAAACGAGCCAGCTAAGGTTGCATCTGTTCCGGATGCCTCCTGGTCGCCTCCCTCCAGGAATGTCCCATTGGAAGAGGCCTTGTGGAAGCCACAGGACACGATGAAGGGACTGTCTCTGAGCTGGGCTGGTGTCGCCTCCTGCTCCCCCAGAGCAGCTGGAGGAGGCGCCTGTGGATCTAACTGGGCATCTCTGCTTAGGCTGCTACCTCGGCAACCCGGTGTTCTGTCAGCTCGGCATACCGCGTCAGGCCGGCATACCCATAGTAATACCTATACATAAGACATGTCTGCTCTCCTTACAGACAATCATGCTGTTTTTGTTTTGTGCATTAAACAAGAAAAGGTGACCACACAGATTAGTTTACAAAAAAAACTTGCTACTGTGTTTGAACAGGATCTTATTAAAGAAGGATCTGCATTTTTTTCAGAGTTAAATGTTTATAGGGAGAAGATTCTAGTATAGTTAGTATTTTTAATATGAACGACATGCGGAACATTTTTATTTCTCCAGTACATGAAGAACCATCCATTTTCCGTCACGCTTCTCCCTGCTGGTGCCTATCTCCAGCTGTCTACGGGCGAGAGGCTGGGTCTACCCTGGACGGGTCGCCAGTCTATAGCCAGGCAACATGAAGAACTACTGAAATTATTTTCAGATTAAAAAACCCAACTGGAATTTGGAAAGGAATTACTTAAGAATTAGGATTCACTTGGTCATAACAACCTACTGAGCCTACTGGCACAATCTATGGGACTGATAGACGCTAACATGCACGCATGCTTATTGCTAAGGGTATGCTGGCCTGACGCAGTATGCTTCTTGAATCAATAAATTTTTTTAGATGTAGAGTTGGTAAATAAGAAAATATAGAAAGTGTTTGATCATGCTCTAACTCCCTATGATAACTGCACGCATTTATCAATTTATACCTGTACTCGCACCTATGAAATATCAGGATTTTTTTTTTTCTACCAGTAGATGTAATACGCTGCAGGACTCTGTTTTTAGCAGTTAGCTTGTCTAATGAAAAATGAAACCTTGAGAAAGCCGATCTACAAGCGATGAACTCTGCTTATAAGGTGCTACTTCAGGGCCCTGGCTTCACTGGATGTTTTTTTATTTTAGAATTGTGAACAGTTTTAAAGGTTTTTATTTTACTTTTAGGCTAATTGCATCGACTCGACAGCAGCACCAGAAGCAGTTTTTGCTTCTGAGGTGAAGAAAATGAGCGCTGAGAACATGAAACCTCAAGAACAGCTGACTCTGGAGCCCTATGAGAGGGACCATGCTGTGGTGGTGGGCATCTACAGGTAAAGCCACGTCCCTGGAGGTTGATATGGGGATTTAAACTTCACTAAAAACTTTAATTTTCAGAATGGTTCACAATGCATTGCTGCTATAGAGCCGCCTACTGTGTTCTTCATCAGGCTGCAGTAGGTGAACCCTATAATGATACTTTTGTTGTTTTGTTTTTAGACCTCCACCTAAACAGAAGAAATGAGTGGAAAATGGACAGAAGGTGACTCCACCATCACTGTCCACTCCAAAGAAATCCCCTTCAAGTCACCCCGTCTACCTGAAATACGCTTCCAACTCTTGATTCCATCGCAGGAATACCTTCATGTTCTTTAATAGGCTGCTTTAGTTTGTCATTTTTAACATGTTGATGTAAAATAACGTTCGACCCATCTGCTTTTTATGCCTTAAAAAAAAGATGACATAACTTTGAGGGTTAGATTGTGTTTAATACATGGTAATTAAGATATATCTTAAACCTTAACATACAATAGATTTGGATCTTAAATGAATAAATCTGTATTCTCTCCAAAGTCTAAGTACAGCACTGTAGAAACCGATAACTGTGAGAACTTTGCTTTAGAAACGTCGGGAAAAGTCATTTCTGGCACTTTTCTCCTACAGTTGCTGGCCTGGATTTCTCAAAGATTAGAAGGAGGCAGATCTACAGTCCTGCCCCAGTCCTTTAGTTCTCATCATTTCTGATGAAAGACGGATTAGATTTACTGACTGGTTAATTCAAGGAACTGTTTCAGGGTCGGTCTCTACTGCAGTCAGTGTTCATTTGCATAGAAATATCAAATTATATTTTATTTAGTGTCAGATTACATTTAAATGCTTTGAGAGGAAGTGGAATAGAACGATGTCAGTTGGGTTAAATTTAACGATGTGCGTTTATAACTTTCACTGGGAGGCCGACCTTTGGAAATGTGTTTGGTTTAACAAACATTTCTGTTTCAAAACTATACTGGCTTCTGTTAAAATTGCTCAATATTGTGAGGCTAGAAACTTTTTTTTTTCCCCCCATTTAATTTCATGGAAGAATTTAAATAATTACAGGTTTCAGCATTTCTGTGTTTATTGCAGAAGTCTCTACATTGCTTTCGTGTGAAAACAGGACATTTATTTTATGGGTGAAATGTGTATAAAGAACTCTGACTTTCTGTTCATTCTAAAATGTCCTGATTGATATGGTGAAGAATTTGTATTTTATTTTTCTGTTTGAAAGGCAAATGTTTGAATAAATGTTTGTGCTTTTTTTTAAACATTTCTGAATGTTATTTCTTCAGCACTAATTGACGCTCATTAATTTACTGTTTTTTTTGGGGGGGGGGGGTTGGGCGGAACGCTGCTGAATCCATCAGATGAACAAACCTTTAATTTCAGCTTCGTTTTATATTTTTAGTGAATTTTTTTTTTGACTTGATAAATCCGTATTTCTGACCGCAGTGCGCGCCTTCATCCAGAGAGAACCTCTCTAACTTTCCCATCTGCTACCTTTGCTAACGGCTGGGAAACGTTGGCGTCAGGTTTGTTTTGGCGGCCATTTTGTGGGAAATGTCTGAGGCGCGCGCCGGAGCGGGAGCGCGCGCTCAATGCAGCCCCTCTCCTTTGACCGATATTTCCATCAGAGGGGCTGGGCAGACCGGGGCTAGCCGTAGCTCTGCCCGCTAAACTACAAAGTGCTATTTCATTGCGATTACAGGGCCGCTCCACCGGTTGAGTCTGGCTGTCAAGCATCTTAGCGCGCGCGGACTGTCTTCAAATTCCGATGGCAGTGTTTTATTAAATTGCTAACATGCTAGCTACTAGTTAGCTAGCTAATGTTAGCTTTTTTACCTTTTAAAGCTATAAGAAGGCGGACGGGGTCATTAACCAAGACCTATCTCGCTGTTCTTAATATGTGGTTTATTTTTTAGAGGTTAGACTTGTTGAGCTGAATGAAGTCCGTAGAATAAAGGAGCTGTCGGTGGCAGAGCGGTGGGCAGCCCACCTCTGGGCTCTACTAGCTGTGCGGCACCGGCAATAAGTCCATGTCGAGGGACATCCTGAGCTCCAGAGAAAATATACCATACTTGGGTTGGAGACTACCATAGCCAGGATCACGGCAAAAACCACAGCTTTATTCGGTTTGGATTTCTACTGGTAAAAACGAACGCCTGACCCGGAGGAGGGGGCTCGGTTCGTGTGGACGAAGGGAGAGAGGGGTTCCGAAGATGGCTGCTCCACGGAACATGGTTCGACACACCGCCTGAGGTAAGAATCTGGGGGTCATTCCGGGGTTTTTGCTCTGCAGAGCAGGGCTGACCTGCAGGCTTATGTCAGGGGTAGAGCGGTCGCTCAGAGTAGCCGGGAGGTAGGCAGGGAAACGGCCGACCGGCCGCCGTCAGATGAACGGTCCGAACAGGCGTGTTCGGCTTCATCACTGCTTATGGAAATAAGGATGACCGAGCTGTTTGAAATCAACGGTTTCATCTGATGCCGTTTGCATCGCGGAGCTTTGCAGCAATACCCGCATCCCTGCGTCCTGTTTGCGGGGTTAGTGCGGGTTTGATGGACGCTGTGGTCTGATCAGGAAAAAGGTTGATCGGTTTGTGCGATAGGAGCGGCATTCAGCCGCCAGCTGAAGTCCTGTCAGACTGAGACAGATGCCGGCGGAGGAAAAGGGAGGGAGGCGGATGGATGGATGGATGGATAGATGAATGTGGGGCTGTAATTCAGGGGGACAGCGATCGGCTGGGAATTGCTTTATGATTCCTGTTTAGCGTTAAAACTGCCGTCAAACACACTCCAGCATCCTGGTTCTTCTTTGTGGATGGTGGACATCCATCATTTTATCCTCTATGGCAGCTAGCGTTAGCCGTTAGCTTAGCTACCGCATCAGCCCAGCCCCTCTCCAGGCTGGGAGGACTGGGAACTAGGACTGTTGCCTAGAGATGGTTCCTCCCATCACACAGAGATGCTGATGTAGGTTTGGATCAATCAGGGCTCCTCATCTTTACTCATTTGGCTCCTTTACAATTTATTTTCTTTGTGTGTTTTTTTCCCCATCATAGGTCGCTTCTATGCACTTCAAAGTTTAGGTTAAGATTTTGAGTTTTAAAATGGGCCACATCTGCAGCGTTTATATTAGTGTAGCTATTAAGGTATATTTGGATCACTAGGATGTGCTGGTTGGTTAAGTATTACTAACTAATAGTTGTGTTTTATTGCCTTAAACGCCTCAGGGAAGACTTCTCATTGCTCCTAGTGTTGTCAGAGGAAGGAGGATTTACCATTAGGCAATACAACTTCCTGGGGGCCCCATAAAACTCTGTTTACATGTATGGTTAATATAACTATTCCTTATTTCTGCACATTAATTATGTTTTTGATAAAAATCCTTTCACTAAAATGCCATCAGAACGCTTAGAATATTCATTGTCCACCATATTGGATCAGTCCATTTGCTGCACATGTTCAGAAAGGTCCAAACAGACAGCAGCAAACCATTTGAAAACAAACCATGCAAAGAGCAGTGTTGCCAACTTAGCGCTTTAGTCGCTATATTTAGCCACTTTTCAGACCCCTCTAGAACTTTGATTAAAAAAAAAAAAAGCACCTAGTGCCATATCTAGCAACTTTTTTCTACTACTGGAGACTTTGGAGACAACATCTAAAAGCAGCGAACTCTGCTCTCCAGAGCAAGTAGATTGGTAACCCCGCCTCCTGCTCTCCTCTATCTTGTCTGCTGTCATGATTCATGCAGCTATTATTTCATCCAAATGAAAAATGGAAAACAGAGAAGCAGATCATGGCTTGTCTACAGTGAAAAGAAGGACTGGGTTATTTACTTTGGCCTTTTTGGAAACACAGGAAGGAGCAATCAGCTAAGTGAGCTTAGTGCTTGGAAAAAATCTTTCATTCCTTTAGAGACAGCATGAAAAGTCAGCTGAGTACAAAACATAGAGAGGAAAACAAGAAGAAAAGGGACAAGAAGAGAGGGACAAAACCTAGAACAGATAATGGATGTCTATTCTATTAACATTTCTCTATCTGTAGAATGGGTCTGTTTTATGTGTTGTCTTCTTAGTTCAGAGGGCCCCCTGCCTGTCTTTGCATAGAGACCCACATTTCCTAAATTTGGCCCTGGTCAGAGGATAGAAAGTGGTTTGGCCCTTTTGTTTTATATGAAACTTTCTGCTGTTTTGGCCCTGATCTTTAAAATGAGGACCAGCTTTTGTCTGTTGGTAAATCAGACAGAGTCAGTGGAAGCGTTCAGTTCTGCAGAGTTTTTATACTGAAAGAATACCAGCTGGTTGCAGTCATGGCCAAAGCAATCCACTAGAAACAACACAAAATCAGTGATTAAGTTAATATGCTTATCATTAGTTTTCTGCTATTTCCTGTTAAAAACCATCAACATAAATACAGAAGGTTCTTTGGAAGAGGGGCGAAAAAAGCAGAAAAGATCAAATGTTTCACAGGTTGGATCAGGATCACTGGGAGGACTTTTAAATAGGGGGTGCTGTGAAAATTTTTGTATTTTTTATTTTTTTTTTTTGTGGAAAAAAAGACCCATGAGCCTATAGGCCTATTACATCATCATGTAGCACCCCTCGGTGCGAGGGGTGCTGGTGCCTATCTCCAGCTGTGTACGGGCGAGAGGCGGGGTACACCCTGGACACGTTGCCAGTCTATCTCAGAGCAACAGAGAGACAAACAACCATTCATGCACACACCTAAGGAGAATTTAGAGAAGCCAGTTAACCTAACAGTCATGTTTTTGGACTGTGGGAGGAAGCCAGAGTACCCGGAGAGAACCCACGCATGCTCAGGGAGAACATGCAAACTCCATGCAGAAAGACCCCGGGCCGGGAATCTGACCACTGAGCAGCCATATTTAAAATACAATAAAAATAAATAAGTAAATGGATTGAGAGGGTCTGTAACACACAGACATCATCATTTCTCAGGTGAATATATGCGCTACTAGTTATATTTCACAATAACACTATAACAGCGTCAATTTTGTCAGCTGGCAGGAAACTGAGTGTTTATGTCAAATGTGACTCTATTTGCTCCACAATCCTTTTACGCAAACCACAAGGAAATGATTATATTATTATACTATTGAAACATTATTGAACGGTTCTCTTCATCCGTTACACAAAGAACACAAGATCAAAATAAAACTTAAAATACTATGTTAAACTGCATGAATAGATATTAAAGTGCATGGCAGCTCCATGCTCTTACTTCTACCTACAGGCAGGGTGCCCTGCCTGGTTACAGGTGTCCAAATGTCCAGGTGCGCTCTGAGGTCGTAGAGATAGTCTCTCAAAAACGGACGAATGTGAAATGCGTTTCTGTGCCATATTTCCTCCTCGTTTCAGTCATTAGACGATGTAAATTTACTAGTCTGCGAGGGGGAACCACGCTCTAGCTTGCTTGACGTTGCCCAACGACAGCTGATTAGGCCTCAAAATAATGAAATTAAAATCCAAATACACATAAAGGTAAAATTAAAAAGTCAAAATGATTTTCCAAAATATTCATAATTAATAATTCATCTCCCTCTCAACAACTCCGCGGCCATGGGTTAGA